TGCTGAGGCAGCTACCCATGCTGTCTGGTTGGCGAGGTGATTTTTGACTGCTTCGAGGGAGTTGCCCATGGGCCGGGCAGTGAATGATAGCCACCCTGGTAGGCTCCGAGTTAGTGACTAGAAGATCCAGGATTTCAGCTTTGCTCTTAATAGTTTTACCCTCTGCTGAAAGAAGACCATGCTCTTGGTATATGGAGCCATGCCCATGTGCAGTGGCAAAGGTGTATCTGCTGTTGCTGTATGTTAACCAACCTGTCTTTTCCGAGCCTCAGGGCCTTTGATAGAGCAATAAGTTCTGCACGCTGGGTCAAGGTCCCTTGTGGAAGAGTCTCCTGCCACAGGACTTTGGTGTAGTTGTGACTGTGGCTCCAGCTTGTCTTTGCCCCTGGACCACAAAACTGCTTCCATCTGCCCATCTGGGTCCCATAAGGGAAGGTCCATGAGGTCAGAGCAGAGGAACAAAATCGTGGCCAGCACTTCGGGGCAAGAACGTAGGGGAGTGCCTGGTCCTTCAGGCAGTAGAGTTGCTGGATTTAAGACAGCGGGGGGCACAAAAGCATATCTGAGGCTGGTCAAGCAACAGCGCCTGGTACTGGGTGATCCGGGCATTTGATAGCCATCTTTCCAGCGGAGCCTGCAGTAGGGTTTCCACCTCATGGAGCTAGTAATGGCCAATGCCTGCCTCAAAGTTAATTTATCTGCATCTTTGACCAGCAAGGCGGTGGCTGCAATTTGTCGAACACAGGTAGACCATCCACTAGCGACCGGATCTAGCCTTTTGGACAGGTAGGCCACTGGCTGGCACAAGGGTTCTAGGCGCTGGGTCAAGACTCCTCTGGCCACACCTCTTCTTTCATCTACAAAGAGGTGAAAAGGCTTAGTCGGATCTGTCAAAGCCAAAGCTGGTGGGGACATAAGGGCCTCTAGTAGGGCCTGAAAGGCTCTGTCTTGATCTTTACCCCATGTGAAGGACTCAGGAGACCCCTTAAGTTCTGCGAAGCCAGATATCCACAGTCAGCAATATCCCACTGCCCCCAGGAACTCAAGTACCTGTTTGTGGGTCTCAGGCCTGGGAATGTTGAGTATGGCATGAACCCTTTGTTCCCCAAGGTAGTGCTTACCTTCTTTGATGTTGTAACCCAAATAAGTAACTGAAATCTGACAAAGCTGTGCCTTCTTGGTTGACACATGGTATCCCAACATCTATAGGAGCTCTAATAAGCCTATGGATAGCACTTAAGCATTTTGAATGAGAAGAGACTGCTAACAAAATATCATCGACATATTGTAGCAAAGTCCCTGGGCATTAAAGGCCAAAAATGGTTCCAGATCCTGGTGTAGATTCTCGGTAAAAATGGTGGGGGAGTTCTTGAAACCTTGAGGAAGTCACTTCCATGTGAGTTGTCTGACCCTTCCTTCTTCAGGATCAGTCCACTCAAAGACAAACAGTGGCTGGCTCTGAGGTAGTAGTGATATGGCGAAAAAAGCATCTTTTAAGTCTAACACTGTATAACATACCTGAGAGGGTGGAAACAGGCTAAGTAGGGTGTAAGGATTTGGTACAGTTGGACAGATGTCCAGGACCCTGGTGTTTACTGCTCTCTAGTCTTGAACTGAGTGGAAGTCAGAGGAGTTAGACTTGTGAACAGGGAGGAGCAGGGTATTTCACGGAGATTGGCACGGAGTCAAGATTCCTACAGCAAATAGGTGTTTGATATGGACAGCAATTCCTCTTTTAGCCTCTTGGGACAAAGGGTATTGTTTTAGTCTCATTGGGAGTGCTGATGTTTGGATATCAGTCGGGATGAGTTGCAGGAAAGATATGTTTAATGAGAATCAGGTCTTCTGTTGGCTGTCGATTCACACCGATGACAAGTTTCCAAGCCTCGCAACAGATTTTGTCTCTCTCTTCAGTGGTGAAAAAAACCTGCAACAACTGCTGACAATTGTCCCAAGTGGGCTGGTGATTAACAAAGACAGTTTCTAAAAGAGAAATAAGTGTCTGGGGTTTTTTAGAAAATGATGGGTTTTGGAGTTTTTTTAGTTATATAGATCACTAGTGAAAAAAGGGACATAGACTAAAAATGGTCAATTACCAGAAGTTCCTGGCAGCGGCAGACCCTGGCGCAGAGGCAAAATCGTGGGGGTGGGTTGGAAATGCATCCCTGAACAGGTATGTGGAGGACTAAATGGTTCCCTGCATTCTCAGCCCCCAGCCTCCTCTTTTTCTTGACGGGTATTTTGGGGAGGAACAACATATGGTGGTGGCAGAGGCTCTTTGTCTTCAGGGGCCGACAGGGGAAAAGGAATATGAGGGAGGGGACACGTCCTTACCACCACTCTTACCTCTGAAAGCCAAAGCCCATACATGGCTCTCTTGACCAGGAGGGACAAAGGGCTTAAGCCAGGGGGGAGGGTTATCCACCTACTTTTTCCATAACTCTAAGGGATCTGATCATCATTGCTAGACAGAACAGTAGCATGAACAGCATGAACAGCAGATAGGGAGAAAGTTCCTTTAGGGGGCCATCTCACATTCATTTTTGGCCACTCGGTTTTGCATAGAGTCCATAGGGTCATTTTTTCGACCCGTAGCCCTAGATTTGAAGCAACCTTCTTACGATCTGAAAGTTACATAACACCAGGGACAAAGGAGTGGGGGGCACTATTTTCCTGACCAATGATGGAGGGGAGGGCAAACGAGAAAACAACACAGAGATCACAAACAGGGATCCAAAAAACGATGGTCTAGAGATCTCGAAGCTAGTAAGCAGTAGCGGCCACTTGTCAGTAAGATCCTTATCAGAGGACACCAAACCAAAAGGAGTCCACCGGCATCCTGGCAGGAGCCTGGACTCTAGGTCTATAGCCACTGTTTGGCAGATTCTCAAGAGTCATTCAGGTGCACCCTCCAAACAATCCTTAGCTCTCCAATCCAGAGAAAGGGCCCTGTTTCAGGCCTTTAACTTTCCTGGCCGACCCACCACATGTTGCGCCCACTCGTTCACTAAAACAGAATGTTACAGAGGCTAGTGACAGTCACATGCTAAAATTTTATTTGAGGCAAGGCAATCGATGGGAGCAACACTCCTTACCAGAAGGCGGCCCCCAACAGCGAGTTACACAGTTTTTTATAGAATTCTGTCCACCAGGGCTCACAATTTTGAAACTCTTGTCATGCAGTTACCAGGCCCAGGATGTAGTTGTAAGATAAATGTGGCGAGGCACATTTCTTTAATCTTAGGCAGAACACTGGGTTGGACCTTTTCTCGGATCCTTGAATTTGCCTCACACAGTTTCACAAGATAGCCATTAGTAAGCAAGCAAGACTGATGTTTACAGAAGCGGGAGATCATGCAGTTAGCTTTTAGCCACAGTTACTCCATTTTGATTTCAACTCTACACCACAAACAGCTGAGCTCAGCTTCCACATAAAATTTCAGTCACGCAAGGGTAATACTATTTTAAAGTAATGCTTTACCGTTCTTAAAGCGCCTTCCAAGCCCGGCCAATGCTGAAGGCTCTGAGGCGTGCCACAGTCGCTTGGGCTGTGGAACGACGGTCGCCAACAGCCCCGGCAGAGGCACCGCCGGCCGACCTGCCTGGCAGCCTTCCTCGCCCCGCCCCGCGCCGTCTCGACCACTCAGCGACCGCGCCGCGCCTCCGCCGCACGCCTATAGGCCCTTCCCGGGACAGGCGAGGCCTTTCCATTTTCCCGCCTTCCCTTGCCCCTGTCAGGCCAACACCCGCACTGGCCCACTACGTCTCGGCCCGGCCTTCCCTGCGAGCCCCGCCCTTCCGGACACCGCCTTTCACCGCTTACCCTGCCCGCCCGGAGGTAGGAGAGGGTAGGGGGAAGGGAGAGGCGGGCCGAGCCCGTTCCTTAGGGGTCGCGGGAGGCGGGGACGGGAGTGCGGGGCGGGGCTAATCTCCTTGGCGCCGCGTTGCCATGGCAGTGGGGAAGGGGGAGGGAGTGGAGGAAGCGAGCGGGAGGGGGATGTGGTGCTGCCGCGGCCGCCACCGCAGCTGCCGCTGCCTGCTCGTTGCCGCGTCTTCCCGGAGGCGGCTGCTGGAAGCCGCAGGGAGCAGCTGTGGTGCTCTGCCATATTGTGTCTCCCTCTGTCCGTCCCTCACCTCCACGCCGCGGCGGCCGAGCTGACGGTGAGTCCCGGGCGGCGCGGCGCCCTCCCTAGCCGGCGCCGCCCGGCGTTCGCGCTCCGGGCTCCGGCCCGCGGCGTCGCTCCCTGGCGCTGAGGCAGCTCGTGCGGCCAGCGTGGAGCGCGGAGGCGGGTGTCCCGTGACGCTCCCGGACATGTTTGTCCTGTGAGGAATTGGCGCCGGCTCGGGTTGTGTGTGGGTCCCCGAGGGTGTCGAGCCGAGGGGAGTGTGGCCCCCGCGAGGAGTTAGGAGTTCTCCCCGAGATCTAAAGACCGCCCGGGATGGGGTGTCGCGCGGCGGAAACCGCAGCGAGGGGTGGCGGCTCCCGGGACGATCAGGGCTCGATTCCGGGGTAGCCTGCGGTTCGGAGAAGTGCGCCAAGCCCCGCGGGAGCCTTTGCAAAGCCCCCTCCCCCGTACCGAACTACTGCGAGACGTGCGGGGCGTGGAGTCCTTGTCCCGACCCAGGCGGGGCCCCGGGAAGTAGGCTCCCGGTTCGGCCCGGCGTGAACTTCGGGCTGCGAGGCGTTGGGGTGGACGGGGGCGGGTCCCGGATGTGGGGGTGGCCGACCCCGGCAACCTCTCGCCCCTCCTCCGGCAAGCGCGCGGGGGTCCCTGAGGGTGGCTGTGCTGGGAGTTAGTGTTTCTGGGCTGCAATATGGACACTTCCTGTTTGCAGCCTCCTTTAGGGCCGCGGTTACCTCTGAACTTTAGTGCTCTCTGGCAGGGTGAGCAATCTGCCCTAGGAGAGGCCCTGGAGCCTTCTGAGTGTGCCTCACGTAGCAGCAGCCTGTCTGCTACCCGGGGCATGGTGGGGGTTAGGGGAAGGCAGCCCATGTGCGTAGAGTTCCATCCTCCACTTGTACTTAACTCCTCCCCGTTTTTACTCGCTTGCAAAAAAAAAAAAAAAAAAAAAATCTCTGTTCCCAGCTCTGCTTGCAGGATATCTCATTCGTTGGGGATCCTTCTACACTTGATTTCTGCTTTAGAGTTTTGTTAAAAGCTGTCCCTGTACTTCGTTCATTCCTTACAGGGGAAAAAAAAAGTCTCAGCAGGCAAATAAATGGCACAGACTTACTTTCTCCTACCCCAACTCTTAACTGAAAGGAGAGAGGCGGCTATTTGTGTCCTGCTTGGTCGGTGCTGTCTCCTGTGGGCCTTCTGATTGTGACAGCCACGTGGCCGGCGGAGTGCAGTAGAGTGCTCTAGCGGCAGGCACTAAGGGCCCAGGTTCTTTGGGAGCCAAGGGCTTTGTAACCGTGCTGTAGGTTCGCTCGCATGCGCTTTTATCTTGGTGCATTCTGAGAGGGGGAAGTGGAAAAAGATGAATCTTTCACGCCTGTTTCTCTTGCACTCCAAGCCTAAAATTTATGTTTCCTTGTAGTGCTGGTAAGGTATATATTAATGTTTTTGCCGTCCTTTGCTGATTCGATGATTTGTCTCTTAATTCTTGAAAGTATTAGGTGCCATTTAAGAGTAATAAAATAGTGTATTAGAGAGTTAACCCAACTCTGGGGAAAAACTCATCTGAATTTCAAAAGCATTAGTAAAAGATCTATTGTGATTTTTAAAAATCACGTTTTGGAGGATTTTTCAGAGTTCAAAAATATCTCAATTTTTTCCCTTTATGTAGAAATGATAACCTAAGAATACATAAATAATCACTGAAAATACTTTTTTAGAGATGAAATAAATAATAGTTTGATTTGTATTACACTCTATTTTAGAAAAATATTAGAAGTTAATTGGAATTTAGCAAGCAGATTTTATTTTAAGGCAATGAAATATGATTTTTACATTATATAAAAGTGAGAAGTCAAAGAGTTGCAAATTAAAAAATTAAACTTTTGGAGAGTTTGTAAAATTTTAGAATTAACATACAAGCTTTGGTTACCAGTGCATCATTTTATTTTGTGAATATTTCGGTGAATTTGAATTATTTCTGCTACATATGTTTTTATTTTGATCAGTTTTACTTGAAGAATGCAAAATAGAAGGAAACATTTCAAATCTGTAAAAGAATTGTGTGGAGTAATGTACCACCACTTACTGGCATTTTAATTATTCAATAATGTTAATTCTCAGTGAAGTTAATAAAGGTATTGAAGAGCTACTCTAGACTTTAGTGCAAAAAATACAATTCTATGAATATGTGTGAGTATATGTGCTGACTGCCGAGTGCAGTGCTTAGTTGAGAAAAAAAATAAGATGATGAAATACTTAAATAAAGTGGTAGGCACCGAAACATATGTTGGAAGGTAACTAACTTACATTATTAGCAATTTTGGAATGTTAAGTACCAACATGTAAACTTTTAAAAGTGCCAGCCAAATTGAACTTAATCTTACTCTTATGACATTGTGTATGTGTCTATATTATAAATGTCCTTTTTGTTGCTTTTAGATTTTTGTCATTATTGTAACTGCATTTCTCATGAATCAAAAATGCCCTCCAAAATCAGTTTTTAGGGTACAATGCTTTTTTGATTTCTTGGGGAAAAAGAGACCTAAGATTTGACCTCTATTCTTAGGTTGAAAAGATTTATGCATATGAAAAGTTCACAATGAGAGAGGAACTAATTAGGTGTTAAACTGTATGATGTTGGCAGGTGCTATAAGAATTAAGGAAGGAAGACCTTGGAAGGTTTGATTCTTGCTTTCTGAAATATAACCTTCGTGTTATTCCCACTAGTCTTCCTGAAGATTATATCACTAAAATGACCAACACCCCTTGTGTCAAGCATGAGTACCAGATTGTTTTATTCTCCTCTTAATCCTCCACTTATTCACTCCCTCAATGTGATGTAACAATTTTACTTCTTTAGACTTGCTGATACAACATTTTTCTGTTGGAAATGCACATGTACACATCATCTTAAGTACTAAAGATCTACTCAAGCTTAAGGACTAGGTGAAATCTTGATTTTGAGACCCACCTTATTTTCTACTACTGAAAATTCTTTCCCTTCCCTAACAGCATTTAATTCTTTTGAGCTATAGTCTTTCATACTGCCTTGCTTTCATTGAATAAATATTTTTTGAGCACTTACTGTGTGCCAGGACTGTTACAGTGTTAACAGCAGCTAAGGCTATAGTGTTGACCAAGACAAATCCCTGTATTTTTTGCTAGCTGTCTTTCTAGGTTTTATCACTTGAACTAGATTGTAAGTGTTTTCTCCAGCATACATTATATGCTTAATGATTGTTTGAATAAAGGAAAAGTAGGACTTCTGGCATGAGATGGAGGGTTGTATGGAAGGTTGTTTTTTTTTGTTTTTTGTTTTTTTGTTTTTTTTTACCAATGAAGAATACAAAAGAGTCACCAATTATGGATGGTCTTGAAAGTATCACTTCTGAATTTAAGTATAGTTTAGTATCAAAATAAAATATGAGCTGAGGAATAATAATACAATCCCTATTTAAGGAAGGTTTGTTTGACTGCACTATGGGATTAGATAGGAATTGGGAAAAGATCTATTGAAAAAATAACCATGAGAGGGAGATTTGAAGAGGTACTTATTATCAAGAAGATGGTTAAGTTTAGTTAGTTGAATGTAAGGGTAACTGAGAGATATCAATGTGAATCTAATCTGTAATGAGGTATAGGGATATGACGTAATATACAGGTGACAGCACAAATTTTTTTAAAAATTTATTTATTTCAAAGGCAGAGTGACAAAGGGAGAGAGATGTCCTCCACCTGCTGGTTTACTCCCCAAATGCCCACCAACATCCAGAGTAGGACTGGTCCACATTGGGGCCCAGAACTCTACCTTCACCTCCTACCTGGGTGGCAGGGACTGAACTTAGGCCATTGTTTCCTGCCTTCCTAGGTGCATTAGCAGAAAGCAGGATCATAAATTGAGGAGCCACAACTCAAACTGGCATTACATGAGATGCACGTTTCCCAAGTGGTTGCTTAAACCATTCCACTAGTATGCCTGAGGCAGCACAAAGTTTTGTCATAGAGTTAATCATTGAAATGGTGAGAACTAGGACCAGTGTTGTAGCACAGTGGGTTAAGCTGGTACCTGTGATGTCAGCATCCCATTTGAGTGGCAGTTTGATTCCTGAGTCTTGGCTGTTCTACTTCCAATCCAGCTCCCTGTTAATGCACTTAGGAAAGCAGCAGAAGATAGCCCAAGGGCTTGGTCTCCTGCTACCCACATGTGGGACCCAGATGGAGTTCCAGACTCCTGGTTTTGGCCTAGCCCAGCCCCTGCCTTTGCGGCTATTTGGGAGTGAACCAGCAGATAGAAGATCTCTGTTTCTGTCCTTCCCTCTTTCTGTATTTCTACCTTTCCAATACATAAATAAATCTCTTTTTTACAGAGATCTTTCATTTGTTAGTTCACTGCCCCAAAATGGCCACAACAGCCAGGTCTGGTTCAGGCAGAAGCCAAGAGCAGGAACTCCATCTAGGTCTCTCACATGGGTGGTAGGGGCTCAAGGATCTGGGCCATCTTCTGCTGCTTTCTCAGGTAGATTACCAGGGAGCTGGATTGGAAGTGAAGCAACTGCTCCTGGAGCCAGCACTCTTAAGGGATGCTGGTATATCAGGTGACAGTTTAACCCACTGCACCACAAAACCAGCCCAAGAGCAAGTAACTTTAATTCTTCCCAAGTAGGTGTGTTACTGTTAAATTAGCAGGATAGTTATTTGCTGTTACTTACCTTCATATCTTAAAAAAAAATTTGCAGAATAGCCGGCGCCGCAGCTCACTAGGCTAATCCTCCGCCTTGCAGCACCAGCACACCGGGTTCTAGTCCCGGTCGGGGTGCCGGATTCTGTCCCGGTTGCCCCTCTTCCAGGCCAGCTCTCTGCTGTGGCCCGGGAGTGCAGTGGAGGATGGCCCAAGTGCTTGGGCCCTGCACCCCATGGGAGACCAGGAGAAGCACCTGGCTCCTGCCATCGGATCAGCGCGGTGCGCCGGCCGCGGCGGCCATTGGAGGGTGAACCAACGGCAAAGGAAGACCTTTCTCTCTGTCTCTCTCTCTCTCACTGTCCACTCTGCCTGTCAAAAAAAAAAAAAATTTGCAGATGTTACAAAAAAATTTTTGTCTTGATAATATTTTCATATGTACTTGGTGCTTCTGCCACTTAGAAGCCTTTTTTTTCTGAGAAGTGATTTGAATGATGAATTGGGGGAAAACACATTGGGCAAAAATCAGGAACCCTGGACTCTCTTTATGCGAAGCTGTAATTTGTGAAAAAGAAAATAAGGTTCAGGAAATAAAGAACACTAATTAAAAAGTTTTAAAATTGATGATAAACTTTTTTTGGAGAAAGTCACTTTATGCTTCATGGAAGAGTTTAAGAGTGATGCCATTTTTTAAAATATTTTAAAAAATTATTTTTTTTCTTTGACAGGCAGAGTTAGACAGTGAGAGAGAGAGACAGAGAGAAAGGTCTTCCTTCCGTTGGTTCACCCCTCAAATGGCCGCTACGGCCGGCACGCTGCGCCGATCTGAAGCCAGGAGCCAGGTGCTTCCTCCTAGTCTCCCATGCGGGTGCAGGGCCCAAGCACTTGGGCCATCCTCCACTGCCTTCCTGGGCCATGGCAGAGAGCTGGACTGGAAGAGGAGCAACCGGGACAGAATCCGGCGCCCCAACCGGGACTAGAACCCAGGGTGCCAGTGCCGCAGGCGGAGGATTTAGCCAATTGAGCTGCGGCGCCAGCCAAGTGATGCCATTTTTTTTTTTAGTTTATTTATTTATTTAACAGGCAGAGTGGATAGTGAGAGAGAGAGACAGAGAGAAAGGTCTTCCTTTTGCCATTGGTTCACCCTCCAATGGCCGCCGCAGCCAGCATGCTGCGGTTGGCGCACCGCACTGATCCGAAGGCAGGAGCCAGGTACTTCTCCTGGTCTCCCGTGGGGTGCAGGGCCCAATCACTTGGGCCATCCTCCACTGCACTCCCGGGCCACAGCAGAGAGCTGGCCTGGACGAGGGGCAACCGGGACAGAATCCAGTGCCCCAACCGGGACTAGAACCCGGTGTGCCGGCGCAGCTAGGTGGAGGATTAGCCTAGTGAGCCGGGGCGCTGGCCAAGTGATGCCATTTTAACACTGGAAATGTTATTGGCAATATCAGTAATAAAATAATATGAATTTTGTTGAGGATAAAATTTGATTAAAGACTCAGTTAAGGGGCCATCGCTGTGGTATAGTAGGTAAAGCCACCACCTGCAGGGCCAGCATCCTATATGGGTACTGGTTTGAGTCCTCGATGCTCCACTTCTGATCCAGCTCTCTGCCATGGCCTGGGGAAGCAGTAGAAGATGGCCCAAGTCCTTGGGCCCCTGCACCCACATGGAAGACCCGGAGGAAGCTCCTGGCTCCTGGCTTCAGATTGCCATAGCTCTGGCTGTTGCAGCCAGTTGGGGAGTG